CACATTGCACTCCAGCCTGGGCGACAGAGCAAGATTCCATCTCAAAAAAAAAAAAAAAAAAAAAAAAAGTGGAATACAGAAAATATTTAAGAGATATTTGTAGACCCACATTCATAGCAGATTATTCACAAGTAGCCAAGGGCTGCCAGCAACCCACGTGTCCAGGGAAAGATGAAATGGATAAGCAAAATGTGGTATATGCATACAATGGAATGTTATTCAGCCTCAAAAAGAAAGAAAATTCTGACACATGCTATAACATGGATAAACCTTGAAAATATTATGCTAAGTGAAATAAACCAGTCACAGGAAGATAAGTTCTGTATGACTCCACTTACATAAGGAATCTAGAGTAGTCAAATTCCGAGACAGAAAATAGAATGGTGGTTGCCATGGGCTGGAGGGAGGAAGACATGGGAGGTTGTTTGAGGGTATAGAATTTCAGTTTTGCAAGATGAAAATGTTCTGGAGACTGGTTGCACAACAACGTGAATAAACTTAACACTACTAAAGGGTACACTCAAAAATGGTTAAGATAGTAAATTTTACATCATGTATATTTAACCACATTTTTTAAAAATGTTCATTTTTTTTCAGCCTCTCAAGTAGCTGGGATTACATGTGCGTGCCACTACACACTGCTGATTTTTTTGAAAAAAAGTTCATGTTTATATATCAAAAAAAAAAAGAAACAAAAATGTAACTACTTAAATAGTTGCCCTCCCTTCTAAAAATAATTTCAGGAGTATATAATGTATCTTAAGTCTCCTTTCTTTTACCATAAGATGCTTCTTAGTATCTGAAACTCAATGTATTTAGAACCAGCTCACCTTCTTCCCTGCCAAACTCACTCTTCCTTTCTCATGATTTTATTTAAGCCCTAAATCCAAGTCATCCTTGATTCCTTGCTCTCCTTCCTCCCCACCAAGTGCAATCATTACGAATTCCTTCCACTTTACCTCTTAAATCTCTCAGATCCGCCCCTTCTCTCCACCTCCACCATCACCACCCCTAGTACTGGCCATCCTCAACTTCTTCCTGGTCTGTTCCATCAGGCTCCTAACCATCTCCCTTGTTTCCATTTTGCTTGTTCTTTCCAACTTTTCCCCACTATTGCCTACAAAAGGAACTTAAAACACACACACACACACACACACACACACACACACAGACCTCTTGCAAATCCAATTACATCAATCTTTTGTTAAGATCCTTTAATTGAGGCTTCCCATCATTCTTCAGATAATGGTGGTCTACATGTCCCTGCAGGGTGTGACCCCTACATGACGGGCGTCAACTTCATCCATGTCCTGTTCTTGTTGCCTACAGCACTCCAGCCACACTGGCTCTCTTTAGGTCACTGTGTATGCCTCAGTCATTCCTGCCTCAAGACTTTTGTGTATATGCTCTTCTCCACCTCCATCCCACTTCCTGCACCTAAATCTATTCATCCCCTGGATAGAGTATTATTACTTCTTTTAGAGTATCTTCTCTACCTTTGACTCCCCGAGTCTGTGGCATGTTCTCTTAGGTTATTTGCTCCTATACCTCTCTTTACAGTGATTATGATCAAACAAATACTGAGTGATTATCAACTGTCTCACCTGCTGGCTGTAAGCTCTATGAAGGCAGGCAGAATCCTTCCACATCTGTTTTATTATACTGGCTCAGCCTGCCAAAGGGTTGGGGCAAATTAATTAATTAGATTAGCCCAAGTTGCATTTTTAGGACTAAAAGAACTGGTCACCGTTTCTCCTCCATGCCTTCCCAAATTGAGTGAGTTCTCCAGAATATTACTTCCAATGCACAAGAATCCTGTCAGGCAGATAAGACTTGAAATGCAATGTCTGCCACCTGTTTATCATTCATTCACTGACTCAGACATGTATCGAGTCCTACCTATGCATAAAGCTATGCACACTTATGAACAAAACTAAGTACTTGCTCTTAAAGCATTTCCACTCTGGTGGAAGAGGCAAAACATGCCCTTATATTTTTCTGTTAACCTCCCCACCCTCAAAACCGTATTTTTTAACAGGGGTCTAGAACCTCTTCAGGTTCAAAGCCTGACTCCACTACTCAATAGCTGTGTAACCTGGTCACTAGTTGTATAACTTGGCCTCTCTGTGCCTCGGCTTCCTCATCAGTAAGACGGTATCTACCTCATGGGATTGTAAGGCTTAAGTAAGTTAAAACACATAAATTACTTAGCATAATGTTTAGTGCATAAGAAAGGCTCAATAGCTGTTAGCAACTTAAAACATAAATATCCTCCCCAGCAAGCCTTAGACTCCTAATCCTTTCTGGCAGTGCAGGTAAGAGTAGGTTAATCATTCAGGTTGTGTCTATGGCATGCACCCAACACATACATTATTTTAAAACCTTATTAACATGTCAACAAAGCAAAGACTACATCTGATAAATAAGAGCTCTGTGATAATGAGGTCACTGTCTGCAGTACTCTTTGATTTAATAAGCCTGGGCAGGCAACAGGTATCTTCAAAATAATACAAGTAAAGTTGATATTTTAAAAGTGAATGTTGTATCAACTAGCTGGTGTGTAAATACTAAACGATATGGCTAACTTTGTCAGCTGATATCCCTTCTCCACAGAAACAAGTTGAAATAATTTCCTACTGATTTTATGGATTTTTAACAAAGTTTTTGCAATTTTTTCATATTGCACAGGCATATTTCTTTCTCCCCCCCGCCCAAGACGGAGTCTTGGTCTGTTGCCCAGGCAACATTACAGTGGTGCGACCTTGGCTCACTGCAACCTCCACCTCCCAGGTTCAAGCAATTCTCCTGCCTCAGCTTCCCAAGTAGCTGGGACTACACGTGCATGCCACCACGCCCGGCAAATTTTTGTACTTCTAGTAGAGACGGGGTTTCATCATGTTGGCCAGGCTGATCTCGAACTCTTGACCTCGTGATCCACCTGCCTCGGTCTCCCAAAGTGCTGGGATTACAGGTGTGAGCCACTGCGCTCGGCCAATTGCACAGGCATATTTATAAGAGAGAATTACAAATAAACAACAAATGCAACAGGTCTGTAAAAACTGCCACAGGGCACTTGTCTATCTAGGAAGTATATCACATTAGGTACCAAAAATTACATTTAAAAGTTTTAATATGTCAATGAGAATGGTATATAGTTTCATTAGCACAAACAAATGTCTTCTATTTAAGACTCCCATGGATGTCTTTGTGATCCTTACTTGCAATCAATAAATATATATATGTATATTTTTTGAGACAGAGTCTCGCTCTGTTGCCTGGACTGGAATTCAATGGCGCGATCTCGGCTCTCTGCAACCTCTGCCTCCCGGGTTCAAGCGATTCTCCTGCCTCAGCCTCCCAAGTACCCGGGATTACAAGCACCTGCCATCATGTCCGGCTAATTTTTGTAGAGCTGGGGTTTCACCATGTTGGTTAGGCTGGTCTCAAACTCCTGACCTCTGGTGATTCGCCCACCTCGGCCTCCCAAAGTGCTGGAATTACAGGCATGAGCCACTGCGCCCAGCCTAAAATAACATTTTTAATTTTTCAGAGGGAGTATGCTATGTTACCCAGGCTGGAGTGCAGTGGCTATTCACAGGTGCTACCACTGGTCCCTACACCCTCAAACTTTTGGGCTCCAGTGATTCTCCTGCCTCAGCCTCTCCAGTAGCTGGAACTATAGGCACATGCCACAAAGCTTGGCCCAATAAAATATTTTTTTAAAACTTTAATGGGCAATTATTACATAGCAAGCACTGTTCTAAATATGCACTGGTGATAAAGAGAGGCAAGAAACATGCTTTTGGCCCGGCTCAGTGGCTCATGCCTATAATCCCAGTACTCTGGGAGGCCGAGGTGGATAGATTGCTTAAGGTCAGAAGTTCAAAACCAGCCTGGCCACCATGGTGAAATCCCAGCTCTACCAAAAAATACAAAAATTAGCCAGGTGTGGTGGCGGGAGGCTGTAGTCTCAGCCACTCGGGAGGCGGAGGTTGCAGTGAGTCGAGTGCCACTGCACTCCAGCCTGCGCGACAGAGCAAGACTGTTTAAAAAAAGAAAAAAAAAATGTTTTCAGCCCTGAAGGAGCCTGGTTTAGCAGAAGAAACCTATACAAATGTCGCCTAAACATACAAATAGGCCATACCTAACAGACCCTAGCACTGAGCCCAGTGAGGCCCACAGGATTCTATTAGGGGAGAATTAGGCACAGTTCCAAAAAGAACCCTTGAACTAAGTCATGAAGGATGCTTAAAATTCTTCAGTGAGATAAAGAGAGAAATGGCAGGGTCCACAAAAACTGCAGACTGGTTGCGGCCTTGTAATTCTGCGCAGCTGGAACGCAAGGTTTGGGTAGGAGAGCGGTAGATGACGGTGGACAGACAAACAGGGGCGGCCTTATAGATAGATGTTCCACGAGAAGTTCGTAGTTTTTCCTAATTAGGGAAGCTATGGGAAAATCCTAATCTGGGTAGCGACATAACGAGTTTACACTTTAGAAAGATCCGTGGTTTAGGACTCTACAACTCCCATGGGAGGGCTGCCCTAAGCCAGGGGTTCTCACTTCCGCTGTTCCGGGATTCTCGGACGACTCGCCCCCTTTTCCCAGTCTTGGTCAATACTGTTACCCCGCCCGCCGTGCGATCCCGCCCCCCTCGGAGCGCCCCTGTGGTCTGACTTCAGCAGCACTTTCCGGCAGGAGACTGGGCACTCGCTGTCACCCGCGAGCTGCCTCCCTCAACGAGATCTGAGCATCTTTCCGGAGGCTAACAGACCTGGGCTTCGAGTGACCACTGTGCTTGCCTCAGTGTCCTTTTCTGGAGCAGGGGAAGGCCCGGCTCCCTGCCCAAAGGCGGCTGTGCGCTAAGTGGCATACGCTCGGGGAGAGCCGGCGCAGGCAGACCCCAGCGCCAGTAGTGACGGGGGCGAGCGCCGCCGGGAGACTCCAGCCCGCGGGCAAGCGGGGTAAGCCAGGCCGTGGGCGGGAGGACAGGGCAGCTCACCGGTAAAAAGCAGAGTCCCCGAGTGGGTTCCAGTTCGCCGTGTAGCAGTCCATGGCTGGTGCAAACGGCAGCTGGGAAGCGCGGAGGGGATACCCACCTAGAGCGGGCTCCAGGCCGGCACTTCCGCTTCCGCCCGTCCGGGTCACGTGGCGAGGCCGCCGCCGCGGCCATCACCACTGTGGGCAGCCTCACTTGGCCGCCGCCGCCGCCGCCGCGACCCCCGCCCGTAACTGGGCTTCGCGCCCGCCAAGTGGGCCCAGCCCTGGCTCCTGCACCCTGTGGCGGCCACCTCCATCGCCTTGCTTTCCCTTACGAGCACTGGGGGTCGCTCAGGGCGGGACATGGGTGAACGGAAGTGGAAGCTGTGAGCGTCGCAGCCCGAGGCGCTGAGGCCTGAGGCGCCGTCGGGGCCACCGCGACGCTCGCATGGAGAGCGCTGGGTGCTGGGCTGCGCACCGACGGCTAACCCGGACCCACAGTCTCTGCGGGGCGGGAGCTTTGCAGAACCGACTGGCCGACCGGGGAGCGGGAACATGAGGCTTGGCCAGGAGCCCGCTGCGGGCCAGGCGCGCGGTGCGCAGGCCTACCCGGATCGCGGGTGAACACCGCGGAGCCCCGGGACTTGGTAATTGGCGCGAGAGGGCGCGCGCATGCGCGGGACGGCGGCGGGCACGTGGCGAGGCTCAGGGCGGCGCCGCGCGGGAAGCTCTGCAGTGCCCTGGAGGCCTGCTGGCTGGACGACCCTCTGCCTCTGGTACCAAGTGTGACCAAGGCTGGCGCCACCATGGCTCTGCCGTCACCTCCTCCCTTTAGCATTGAGCAGCCCCGGAGGGGCTAGCCCTGAGGCCGACCTGCCCTGAGTCCCCACCATCATGTGGCCTCTCCCTGCAGCCTGTCGTTGTTGGTGGCGGCATGGTCTTCTGTCTGTCCAGCGAGGAACCGCGCTGCCCGCTGCGAAGCGACATGGTCCACTTCCAGGCCTCGGAAGTCCAGCAGCTGCTACACAACAAGTTCGTGGTCATCTTGGGGGACTCCAGTGAGTGCCTCTTCTAGGGTGACGCTTCCAGTCCCACACCTTGCAACCTGTTCAGTGTGTCTGGACCATTTGTCTCCATCTCACATCTCCTGTCTGTCCTCTGGTCTGTTTTCGTCCAGTAGGTTTTCTCTTTTTATGTCCCACACATCTTCCACAGGTGTTCTGAAAGGTGTAATAACCTGTGCACTTTTTAGCCCCTCCTTGCTCAGCGTTTCTCGCCCTGACAGCCCCCCATACTTTCCATCATTAAAGCGTTGCATTGTGTAGTGTGTCTCCCGGGTGACTTGGCCGACTTAATTTCTGCCAGGTGATCTTGGGTCACTGTATACTGCTGGCCGGGAGGCACAGCGAACAGAGCCAATGCCAGGACTTTTTAACCTCATCTTTTCTCCTGCGTCTAAGTCAACACTCCACGGAGCTGGTGTTGGGCAGCTCAGCCCTGGGAAAATGGGATCCTGGACTTGGAAGGAGCTGGGGCAGGCTGAGGTCTGCCTCAGCCTTGGGATCTCTGTCTCCTCCCAGTTCAGCGGGCTGTGTACAAGGACCTAGTGCTCTTGCTCCAGAAAGACTCACTGCTCACAGCTGCCCAGCTGAAAGCCAAGGTGAGGGAAGCTTGGTGGCCATGTCAGTGGTGGGTGGGCCCAGACCTTGGCCTGGCAGGGTTCTCCTCCCTGGCATGGGTCTGACCAGTAGGGTGGGGGGGGTGGGTAGGGGGAGCTGAGCTTTGAACAGGACCAGCTGGTGGCTGGGGGCCAGCTGGGCGAGCTACACAACGGGACACAGTACCGTGAGGTCCGCCAGTTCTGCTCGGGCTCTGGCCACCACCTTGTGCGCTTCTACTTCCTCACTCGTGTTTACTCCGAGTACCTTGAGAATGTTCTGGAAGAGCTGACATATGGACCTGCTCCGGACCTGGTGATCATCAACTCCTGCCTCTGGGATCTCTCCAGGTTGGGGCAAGGGAAAGGGAAATACCAGTTGGGGATGAAAGTATGGCTCAGAGGCAGTCCACCCCTGTGCTCTTGCCCACCCTGTGTGTTACCCAACAGATATGGTCGCTGCTCAATGGAGAGCTACCGCAAGAACCTGGAGCGGGTGTTTGTGCGCATGGACCAAGTATTGCCAGACTCCTGCCTGCTGGTGTGGAACATGGCGATGCCCCTCGGGGAGCGTATCACTGGGGGTTTCCTCCTGCCAGAGGCAAGTGACTGAGGCCCATCAGGACAAGAGATGGGACAGCAGGCTGGTAGATAGGACTCCCTGCTTTCTGACCCTGCTTCATTCTGTGGCTCTTAGAGGGTGCACTTTCTCACTCAGCTCCAGCCCCTGGCAGGCTCCCTGCGGCGGGATGTGGTTGAAGGGAACTTCTACAGTGCTACGCTGGCTGGGGACCACTGCTTTGATGTCCTAGATCTCCACTTTCATTTCCGGCATGCGGTACAGCACCGTCATCGGGATGGTGTCCACTGGGACCAGCATGCGCACCGCCACCTCTCACACCTGCTTCTGACCCACGTGGCTGACGCCTGGGGCGTGGAGCTGCCCAAGCGTGACTATCCCCCTGGTGAGCCCTACCATAAGTGGGGGGGGTAGTGATGCACCGGGGCCCTCAGAGGACAGGGCTCAGAACCAGACTGGGACAGAGCCACTCAAGGGAAGTAAAGGTCCCTTGAAGGACCCCTGTGTCTTTTGCATGCACCTTCCTCAACCCCTGAGGAGGGTTAGATCACCGGAACAATATTCTTGTCCAAGTTCCAGTTTTCTGCAGTCTGGCTGTGTAGTCCTTTCTGTATGTTAGAAGGAGCTTATACAAGTATTGACCACACCAGGCAGCATGTTGCAAGAGTCCTACCCAACAGATTAACAGGAAAGAAATGGGGCATGGGTGTGAGGAGTGGAAAGACAGGGAGGAAGGGCCATCCAGGCAGTGTGACAGAAGCAAGGAAGCCCACAGCTTGGGGGGTGGGGGTGCAGTCAGCTGGCAGGGTGTGGAACAGGTGTGTTGCATCGGGAAGGCCAGCCTTATGGACTTGGGCTCGATGGGCAGTGTTCCATAGGCTTCTTAGTTCGGCCTCAGAGTCCCAGTGTGACTGGTGCAGCTTGGTGTAGCTCTCCTCTGTCCCCATCTCTGGGTCATTGGTGGAGGCTTCTGAGGGCCCCACTCCTCCTTGTTTTGAGGCACTGCTCCCCATCATATCTCGACTGTAACACTCTGCTGCAGAACCTCGGTTTCCATGTCAACGTCCCAGTCCCTGCATGCACACAAAGGGGGCACCGTGGCTGATTGTCTCCATGGCTGCTTCTCCTCTGCATCATGTCCTTAAAGGGCAAGTTTCCTGCTGCCCTTGTTGACAACTCACCCCTTTCAGCCCCAGTGTCTAGCACAATTTCCATGTACACAGTATCAACAGAATTGTATTTGTTGAATGGGAGGCACGAGTCATGTTAGAAGGCCGATTGTAGCAGCACAAGAGGATGTGGGGGTGCAGAGAATCCAAGAATATCATAGAACAGACCTGTAGCACTTGGTAGCCAGGAGTTGGAGCATCAGGGAAGTGAATTCAGATTTTAGTTAAACATCCCAATTTTCTTGTTTAGATGTAATAATTAATCCCCAGCAAATGATGGGATGCTCTGAAGGTTGTAAGGCTAGTTTTGATAGCTTAGGCCTTTGAAATCCAATTTGGAGCTATAGAAGTTAGGGCCATGAAAAGGGAGAGTTGATTTGGGGTGGGAGGATGAGTCGGTAAGTTTGGTCACAGCAGATTTATTTGAGGTACGTTGGAAATACAGAGTAGGTTTGCAGTCATTGGTACCCAGCAGAGAGATTAAAACTGAGGGCACAACGGGAACTATGAGGGAGACAGAAGGATGCTCACACTTTGGATTGGCAGGAAAGAGGCTGTGGCGGAAACAAAAGGAGATGAGGGCAGGGGCACTTTTAGGAAGGACTGAGGCTACTGGCAATGTCACATGACTGTTGAGAAGAAGGGAATTTGTTAGCAAGTGGTTACATTTAGTAGGAAAAGTGTTGAGAGCATGGGTTTGGATTAAAAGAGGGGGTGAGCAATTGAGGAGGAAATGAAAATTGGGCAAAACATTCCTTTTGGAAGTTTGGATGGTAAAGGGAAGTTGTTGGTGAAGGGAATAACAGGATCTTTATGTTTGGCTTATTTACTGGTCTATGGGGAGGAGGTGGGAGAGGAAAAAGTTAGATACAGGACCTGGGCAAACAAAGAAGGCTCTGGAGGAAAGTGTGAGGTCAGAACAAAGGTAGGTCTGAGAGGTAAGAGAAAAGGAACATACCTTGGGCTCGGCCTGAAATGAGAGGGAATGAGGAAAACTGGGTAGAGGGCAAGGGTGCTCCAGCCTGGTGGCTCTGCTCTCCAAGAGGAAGGAATAGAGCGTTAGAAGTGTGGACGGCCAGAGTTCAGGGCAGCCTGGCTCCCAAGCCTACCTAAAACAACCATCCCATTCCTAGACCCGTGGATTGAGGACTGGGCAGAGATGAATCATCCATTCCAGGGAAGCCATAGGCAGACCCCAGACTTCGGGGAGCACCTGGCCTTGCTCCCACCCCCACCCTCTCCTTTGCCCCCTCCCATGCCTTTTCCCTACCCACTTCCTCAGCCCTCGCCACCTCCCCTCTTCCCACCCCTGCCCCAGGATACCCCTTTTTTCCCAGGCCAGCCCTTCCCACCCCATGAATTCTTCAACTATAATCCAGTGGAGGACTTCTCGATGCCACCCCACTTAGGTAGGTGCCTCTGCAGCTCCCCTACCCTCTTGTACCTCCCCCTACCCAGCCTCTTATGCCTAGGTGAGCTGAGAGGAGTTGGGTAGCTCCTTGTGCCTCTAATACTGGGTTTGGTCACAGCAGTCCCTGAGTCTGAAACATCATCTGTAGGCTCATTAATCAGCTCACTGGTTGTCACTATTTCACTGTCTGAAGGTAGGGGAAGGGCTATCCCTTTTTTGTAGATAGGGAAACACAGAAGCTCACCTGGAGGACAAGAGTTGCTTGAAGGCAGAGCTGCACTCACTCTGGCCAGAAGCCAGCTCTTATAATGACTGGTTTTTTTGTAGGAT